TATTTGGTTAATATTATGAATGAATCAAATGTGGGATTAAATCAAATCAATTGAAAACTAATTAATTATGAAGTGTTTGTGAATTGAAGTCCACGTGTGCTCTCATCAGTCCATCAGTTGTCTCCCATACCATTCATATACATCGTGTCAGTGCCCCCTAAATATTACACTATATATGAATGGACCCCTTATATAATCTCAGCTGTTACCACATTGTTGTCATTTCAAATTAACCCACACACATATAACGTGACACTTTTTCATTCAACATATTTAACATTTATATATTGATTTGTTATGAAATGTACATCAAATTAATGCCAAACCCTGTGACACGTTATATACGGATGCGTTGAGAATATTAACGTTAAATTTAGTAAAAGTGTGAACTAATGAGCGATTGATTGCATAATTAGTTTGTAATACAAATGTTGTGATCGTTTGACATATCGGGTGAAGAGATGTCCAAAAGTGGTTCAAAGCCGAGGGATGTGTTTGTCTTCGAGAGAGTCGAGACATTGAAAGCAAATGAATCCAAATATATTAAACCCCATAGAATTCACTATAAAATGGTATTCATTATAAGAATTGATTGTTAATTATAATTAACACAAATATTGCAGTCATTATAACTACCAAACCCTTCATATGTCTGTCCCTCCACTCTATGTCTATCTATTGGACATAATTTCATATTTCAATGTTTATTAGATTTAGTGTTTGTATGAATAGCCGGTAATAACCGGCGTAAACGATATGACCCATAATATTGCCCTTTTTAAGTGTGCACTTGTTTTGACACAAATACTAATATTGATTGTGCTTTTGTGTGCAGAACGGGAAGGATCTGATCTGGGATTGCATGAAAATACACGACAGGTTTGTCCAACACTTGCACCGCCTTTCGATATACTCTTTTGATAACCATTACATTTAGTGTCGCAATCCTTGTATATAACCGGTCGTCAAAGAAGTTGGTATTCGTGCGACAGTTGCGTCCGGCGATAGTCTTCGCGCAATTGTGTCAAAGTATTGATTCAATTGATTTGAATGTCTTCTCCAAAGAAAACATTCATAAAGTGAACCAAATGTTTGAAAAGAATCCAAACTTTGGATACACTCTTGAACTCTGTGCCGGAATTCTTGATAAACAGGGTATTCAACCCATTATATTAAATGTTAATTTGTTTTACAATTGATTCCTATTTTAGGAAAAACGCCACAAGAAGTGGCCAAAGAAGAGATCGCGGAGGAGATCGGATATGTAGTGGATTTGAAGTACAATTTTATAAATTATTTAAACGTTTCCAACAATTTTAAATTTAATACCGAATCGTTTTTTATATGAAAAGTTGTGTGAAATTCTTGTCGTCATACCGGAGCGGAGTTGGCGTTTCTGGTTCTCTTCAATACCTATACTACTGTGAAATCACGTAATATTTAACGATAAAACTAAACGCATTATTAATTCATATTTTTCTATTTACAAAGAGATGAAACCCCGAAAGGAAAGGGCGGCGGAATTGACGACGAGTCCATTGAAGTGATTGAGTGAGTGATTGTAATGCCATTGAATATACAGTACACTAATCAATACAAAACTTGACAACCATTGACAGACTCGGTATAGAAGAAGTGCGCCAATTGTTGTATTGCGATGACACCACTTCTGCCATTTCCCGGCCAACCGCTATGTTGTTTGCCTTGAGTTGGTTTCTATACCAACATTTACCCACAATTTCATGATAACAATCGTTGAATTAATGATTTTATTTTAAATTTTATTTTCACCTAAACTTTATAATTAAATAACGATTTCACAGTTAGGGTTAACGTCTGTGAATAAAATGATCAGTAAATCAATGAATGGATATTTGGCTGCTTTAGTGCCCGTTATAACGAGTTTCCGCAATGACTTGATTCGGTGTAATGTCTCGATTCCGCGATGAGATATCAACGGATTGTCCGATAAGTCCAAAACCGTTAGTGTATTTGAGTTTCGGAAAAGTCGGGCCAATTTGTCGCACATAAAGTCGTCCAACAATTTATTCTTCGATAGATTTAGTTCTTGTAATGAATTTAAAAGCGAGAAATTGTCAAACGATTCGTAACGCAGTTTTACATCTAAATTGCGAGTAATTATTGTGGAAATGAGTATTAATTGAATGAATCAAATGAATCATCACTCACTGGAAGCGTCCAACTCTATCAACCGAAACCTCGAGTCATATACGTTAGGCATTTGTTCACATTTAGTGATCCACGTGTTAGGCGTGTCTGAAATAGTTGCCGAAATCAGCGAATGTAAATCACTTGATATATAGTAAAACATTGAGACAATCATTACGTGTGAATTTAGCTCTTCCTCCTCTATAGACAACGAAGTGCGCGGTCGCCAACTCTGGACCTATCGAGTGATCAATCAATGGTTATAAGCAATATGTAGTCAACTAGTGAGTCAACAGACCGAGTATGGCATGTCTTCGCGCGATATATCGTTGGTTATACTGTTCTCTCACTTGAATCCAAAAGCGAAGTCGCCGTTTGAGTCCCTGAAGACTGATGTCATACTTATAGTGCATAAAATTCAACAGATCTACGGATAGTCCGCCACTTCTGTCAAAATAGCTGACTCTCTTCGGCAGTTTCTCCTCGATCTTCGTCTCCCAATACGAGTCCAACTGAACCGGACTTTTGATGACTTTCGCCAACTCTTGTCTCTCGTATTCCGCCAAACCTTTGTTTTCATCACTCGTTTCACTGCCGCCGAGCGAAGACACCTCACTCTTCGGCACCAATTGGTCGCTCGTCTTCGCTATGATCTGCGAACTCAACAATCGCTGACTTGTAGTTAAATGTCTCCATTGAAACGCGTGGACACACTTTCTTAGCATCGCTTTTGGCAACAATCGAGTGTTGGAAGTGTTGGCGACAATTCATATACCAATTGTCATCAATTTGTGGCAAACAATTGCTTTCAAAACAATAATAACACGAAATGATTGAAATGTGCGAAACATATGATAAATACAAATACAGTAATAATAATGAATACAAATAGAGGTCTCTATGGACTCAACGCTCACTAAATACCGGTTTTTTGCATAAAACTATTATTCAATGGTTTGTATGAATGAAATGCAAACTCTGTTTCAAATCAATCAAAAGCACTCAAACCACTCATTGAACGCTCAAATTAAAACCACTCATTAGTTTTGCAGTGAAAACAAATGATTTAATCATTCATTCATTTGTTTTGATTCAACAAATGACACAATAATGAGGTGTGAAATGAGAAGTGAATATGTTTTCGCTAATTATTACTACAATTAATAGTAATATTAATAACAAAACAATAGTAATAATAGTATTGTTATAATTGTTATAATTAGAGATCTAGTGATGAAAGGAGTGAATCGACTCAACAGTCACTGCATTATCACTACTAATGAAATCAAGTTGTGTTCAATTGATTGACAATACATTACAATACATGCCATAACTGTATCACTCGTTCATCCATTCATTCAATATTTTTGTTGCTTTTTATCAGTATTTGTATTAATCATACAAACGATTGTGTGATTTGATTGACATTTAATTGTTATGCAATCACTTGTGGACGAAGAGGTGAAACCCATTGGACAGGCCGTGAAGTGATGTACGGATACATTGATTGTCACGTTATTTAGCCATTGATTCAATTTTAAGTGTCAATTGTTTGTAAACCGAGTGATGACTGAATACAAGCAAATCTGATGTCTATTTACACAATATATTTAATTTAATTTAATATTTTTAAATATTAATTATAATAATAATGATAAATATATAACACATGTATTTAACACACGATTTAATATTTTAATTACTTATATAATTATATAATTTTTATCATAACTTTCTCTTATGAATCGATTGTTTACTTTTGATTCAAAAGTCTATTTAATTGTTAGCAAAGCGTTTGATATCGCATTCATTTGGAGTCAATTCAATACAATTAATACTAATTATAATTACAATAATTCAGTCATTTATGTATCGATTGTAATAATAATGGGAAATAAGATCTCTTGTTGTAAAGCAAACAGTCCTCAAACGCACCGCAAAAAGCATGAGACAAATGTGATCATCGATGACAACCACCTCAACGATAGGGTCGGACCTATTCTTCAGCACATCAGCGAACGAGAACCAGAAGACAATGAGTCCGATCCCTCTTCTCATCCGACCGCTGGACCTCTTTTTATGCAACGATCTCGAAGTGATATCAGATGTAAGACCACTTCCAATCATACCAATGATACACACATTTCAATCATATATTAACCACATTTCCACTTCTTTTGCTTCTTTTGTATTGCATTTTTAGGCCACAGAAAAAGCCAAATAAATGTAAGTCTCTTGAGATGGTGTCTAAGAACGTGATCTAATTGTTTGTATTTTGTGTGAAACCAGTTATTAGAGTCTCGTCCGCTCAAGAAATCCAGTTCCTGTTCGACCATCTATTTAGACGACAGTACTGTTAGTCATCCAAACTTGAAAAACACCATCAAATGTGTCACACTTGGTATCTATTATCACATCCGGAACAGGAATTCCGATCGTATTGTTGATATTTTTGACGAAAGACAACACCCATTAACGGTATGTATATCTCTCTAAACGATATTGAGTTACAAATTAACGCCTAAACGAATGAATAGAAGGACGGAATGCCCAACAATAGGGATGAGAATCGAGATCCCGATCACCGGACAATATACCGGTTCGTGAGGACACTGTTCAGCGCCGCCCAACTGTCACCGGAGTGTGCGATCATAACTCTGGTCTATTTGGAGCGTCTGTTAACGTACGCCGAGATCGATATCGCGCCGCAGACGTGGAAACGTATCGTTTTGGGTGCCATTCTTCTGGCGAGCAAAGTATGGGACGATCAGGCCGTCTGGAATGTCGACTACTGCCAAATACTTAGAGATATCACCGTTGAGGACATGTATGGCAACGCTTTATTCATCTCTACAATCAATTTCTAATCCATTTATTTAACAAACGACAGGAACGAACTCGAGAGAAGATTTCTGGAGCTCTTGCAGTTCAATATCAATGTGCCGTCGAGTGTATACGCGAAGTATTATTTCGATTTGCGGTCACTCGCAGATCAAAACGACATTACATTCCCGACCGAACCCCTCAATGAGGACAGAGCACTACGGCTTGAAGTATTGACAATGCGTTGAATTTGTTATTTATTGATATTAATTGATTGTATTTTGTGTCCACTCGACAGGCAATGTCTCGTCTGTGCGAAGACAAGTTAATAGATTCCAATAGAAATGGATTCAAGAAGTGGTCGAGTCTGGACAGTATGCCGCTCACCCGTAAAAGCGCTGCCATTATATCGTGATTTACCTGTTATTACACTTTTTGCGGAGCTATTGGTTAAACCCATTAATCCATAAATCATTGCTCTTTTTTAGTTCATTGAAATAACATTTTTTAATATTTAAGAGAAAACAGATTACGATTTAATCGATTGCTAAATAATTTACATGTTTTACAGAATTACGCGAATCAAGAATAATGTGAATCGATTTGAAAATAATTGATTTCAATAAAAAATATTTTTAATTCTAACCATAATTTGTCACATTTGTGGGACAATCAAGACATTGGTTTTGAGCACTCGGTTTGCCTAACGATTGTTTGGATGGATTCTAAACAACCGATTCAAGAGTCTTAGCATAAGAGTCGCCTTTTTGCGAGAGTTGTCTGTTTTCACAGTTTGTGAAATAGAAGAGCAAAGCGGCCGACACTCTGGCCCTCAATGCGTGCAATTCGAGGTCATGTGTGGACTCAATTCTGCCCCACTCTTGGATCTCAAAGTCCTCTTCGAGACGCGAATAATCCACACATTTGTCGACCGAAAGTCTTCGTTGAGTCAAAGCTAACGATAGTATTAATGACTTGAGATTTTCTGTCGCAAACTTGAGTCCTATTAATGACCACCGATTGTGTGAACACAGATGTCTGAAAATGTTTTTCTTGATCTCATCGGACACTGGATTCAATGCAATGGTGTCTGTGATCGGTATTTGACACTCAAATCGGTGTTCAAACCACTCAACGATTGGACTCCAATGTGTTTGTTGTAAATGCGATAACTCTTTGGGTTCGTTAACCCGAAAGCAAAGAGTGTCCGAATCGATGAACTCTAGTATACTATTGGCCAACGATTGTCGGCAATCGTGTCCGGGATTGTCGATCGCAGTGTTAGTCAGTTGTGTCAAATGCATGGTTGATAACTGGATCATCCGCTGCTGTGTCTGCCACTCATTGGCCACCATTAGAGCCAACGACTGGTTAGGGGTGTAGAAGAGGTGACCGTTGGGTGTCTTCAGTTTCCTTCCGTCCAAATTGATCTCATATTTGTCTTCGTTCTCAACAATTGTCACACATTTATAGAAACGCTTTCTTTCTGAGGAACCTATCAGTGATGACACATGTCTTCACACAATTCAGTCCTAATGAGTCAACGCTTACCACTGCTGTAACGCTTGGCCTCACATCTGATCCATTGCTGTCCATAACTTCTATGAATACAAAAATGTCTTAATTTGTCAAAAATCATGTCTCAGTTAGCAATCAATTTGAGCCAAACTTTTGCAATATTTTTGTATTTGTTTTGTAAACACATTTCAATCACATAACAGGCGCTCAAAGGTATGACCCCTTCATATATAACGTACGCTTTAAACGGTGGGGTTTGAGTGAGTGCAATATTTAAGAAATTTTTAAGAAATTTTTAGTTAAAAATTAAACACTTTTTGTTGTACAATCAGAGTTGAGAAAAATTTAAAGTTCAAAACAATTCCAGAATATGACTGAACCTAAAAAAGAATTGATTTTTAGTTAAAAATTAAACACTTTTTGTTATACAGTCAGAGTTGAGAAAAATTTAAAGTTCAAAACAATTCCAGAATATGACTGAACCTAAAAAAAGAATTGATTTTTAGTTAAAAATTAAACACTTTTTGTTATGCAGTCAGAGTTGAGAAAAATTTAAAGTTCAAAACAATTCCAGAATATGACTGAACCTAAAAAAGAATTGATTTTTATTTAAAAATTAAACACTTTTAGTGTAAACTCAGAAGTGAGAAATATTTAAGGTTAAAATTTTCCAAAATTATGACTAAACCTATTTATATAAGAAATATTAAAATTCAATACAAATGACTTATTACTAATAAGTTATTAGTAATGAGTTGAGAAAGTCTGTGCCGATACATGTATTACGTTATGTGTCATACAATTTCCTACTTCTGAAACGAGTCATTGAAATCTTTGTCACATTTAGATATATAAGAATATTCTGTATTTTATAATACTTTATATGAAATATTTGAATATTAATAAATGAATTCAATAAATAAAATGAATTAAAATATTTTTATTAATGATTTGTTGTGTGGAAGACAATAAATATTAATTACAATGAGTTAAATGTATAGTGAATTTGATTGTATGTGCCGTTAATTTATTTATATATCTTTAAATTACATTTGCATTTCATATATAAATCATATCAACATTTTATGGTTTTATTTTTATAACTCAAACCTATTCTTCTATTATATGATAACAATATATCTTATTATTTAATATTTATAAGTTATACAAGAATTTGCATTTAATATAACAATAAAATTTGTTTTGAGAGAATATTTTTTGCATCGTTTCCTCTTTCAATCAAATAAGTGCTAATAATTGGAGAGTATTTCAAATATAGAAAGTATTGAAATTAATTGATTCAATAATATATTGATTAATCAATCGAAAGGCTAAATATATTGGTATTTCATAGCAGACAATGTGTTTGCTATCAATTATAGTGAATGCATAGTAAAGAGTGATTGATATATAATTGCAAGTGATTTATGTGTGCAATCATTTCATTGGATTCATATCTATAACCATTTATTGCAAGTATTAAACCATAATAACTGATCAAATAAATTATTTTAGATTTTTATATATTTTAAATGTCTTATGAATCATAAGTTATGATTGAAATATGGATTTTATGTTTTACATGATTTGTTTAATCAATTTATAGAAAATATTATTAATATAATCATATTGTGTACTGTATATCCAAATCCATCATAAAATCTCACACAATATACCTATCAATCATTTGATAACAAATAATGTTAATCACACTTTTACTTAATGGTAATTCTTTAGCACTTATTTGAATTCATATCAAATTCTCATTCACTACATATCCATATATACAAAGAACCGGAATATCAAAGTAATTGTCTTATTATTTGGATTTAGTTTCACTTTTTCTTTTATCATGTGTTTCATCATTGAGTTTATCTTCGAGTCCATAGCATTCGTCTAAATATGTTTCCAACGATTTGTAGACATGAAGTCTTACGTCATCCAAATAGTGATTACTATCGGGATATATCTGTCAGACAAATAGACACAATGTTAATAACAACTCAATTAGATATTATGTTATTATTTGTTTTTATAAAACTACTAAAAACAACTCATTTGTTATAATTATAATTCACTCTTATATACAAACAAAGAAATGTTAAGTAAGAAACAAAAAACTGTGGTCTAAATATCGATCCAGTTTTGTATGTTTGTTGTGAGCACTGGTTGTGAGTGAAGACAACAGTCCTGTCGCTGACAAATGTTACCAATTTTCTGGGTTTAAGTATCGACTCTATTATGTTTGATAACAAAGATTAACTCCTTTTCTTCTTATAATCATTACTGTATAAGAAAATGTCATTCTTCTCACTCTTATAACTAATAATTGCATTTCAATCCACTATTTGTTTCGATTGTATTTTTAAAAATTTCCCACTTTTTGTCTCAAATATATTTTTTTACAAAATAATAAATTATAAGATTTTTATTTAAGTCCACTTTAACTCAATTACAAAGAAATCGATACTCGTTTCACTCCATGTGCTAAAGAATTCAATGTCTAAATAAATGGTTTATATTTGGTTTTTATTCTTTTATTACTTTATATTTTCAGAAAAAAATATATAAAAGATTTTTAGATATTTTGTTATAAAAATATAATAAATTCTTACTTGAGATCTATAGAGAACTCCAGCGCTATTCAGGGCTTTCATTAGTTTGAAAGTGTGCTGCAAATGAACGGAATCTATATAATACAGAATACATAAAAACATATACATAAATGCACTTCAAATATAATGTGTAGGATATTATCAATGTTTAATTCATCGAAACATTAATCCATATCACATACCATCAGCCGTTCCGTGAAGAATGAACAGACGTTTATACAGAAACTGATCCGCTTTTAAGATGAGATTCGCGCTCTCATACCGATGCCTATCCTCTGAGACCCGGGGGTCACCGAAATAGCGTTCAGATGTAAACGAGTCTGAAATACAGCGGTTGTACACCATTTGACACAATTATAGTGACAATTAAATAAATTGCTTCAATGTTTAGATGTGAGCGAAGACTAACCCCAATAAAGCCAGTTAGTGATCGGCGCCACTGCGAGACTGCAGTTAAATATTTGTTGATTACTTTGGATTAAACTCTTTGCCGCTATGTATCCGCCATAAGCCCAGCCCCACACCTAATATCAGTGACAATGTTTAGTATACATCTCTGTGTCTATCTTTTCAATTAAGATAAGTAAAAATAAAATTTCTTCATTTCAAATGTTTTGTGTTTTATTTGATACTCATTTGCAGATTCTTTTGTTTAAATTTAGTGCAAATTTTAACATTAATTTTTGTTTCACATTTTTAAACCTTCGTTAAACACATTATGTAACGCTATTTAAGTATTAATTATATTCATTATAATAATGGGTTTCCAAATGTGTTTGAAGTAAATTGAATGTCATTTACATTAAGGAAATTATGTGTAAGAATTTTACTCTAAATTTTTCATTTTTTTCAATTTCAAACATTAAATACATCTAAGGTTTAATGTGTTGCATATATTATACATATTAGTAAACATCTGCACATATTATTTATATTCTTGAGACTAAATAGAATATTTGTTATAAAACATTAATGAAAACAATAAATAGTAAAAATTACAATAATTGAATGCAAAGTATGAATAAAAATAAATTATAGATTCGTTTGCAAAGACTTACAGCAATCCGTGAGTTATCGATGTAATGGTATTTGGATTTGAGATATTCAATCACTTTCATGTAGTCATTCACTTCTGTAGTTTCCATTTGATGCCACGTTTCGTGTATTCCTAATGTACTTCCTTTTGATCATCAAATGGTGAACATATTTTGTATTATTTTTTAACCACAATTCAGATATGATTCATATAATATGAAGAATGTGGTTTATAGGATCGTCCGACTACCCTTCCCCTCCCCCGCCCCCACTCTATGGGATTACAGTTTAAGTCATGGTTATACTTTAACATGGGGTTCTTGACTCTATGGGGACACAGCTTAAGTCTATGGCAATGCTAATCCAATGGGTATTACTACGTCTATGGGCTAGTGTTAAGTCTATGGCAATGCTAAATCTATGGACAATGTTATCTCTACGAGACTCATATTAAATGTGTAGATAGAGCTAATTTATTGTTTTAGCATCATACGAATTGTGGTTTACGTATAGGATTGCTTGTGATCCTTATTTGTTTTGTTTTTAAGTAATTTATAAGATTTGTTGTGATATAAGCAACAAAATCAATATGTAATCAAATCACAAACCAGTGCCTCGACTGCTCCTCACATCGATGTAAGCGTATATGAAGTCTCTTGAACTCGCCTTAATTGGCGAGAAATCCAATAAATATTAATTATTCATACGATTTGATAGAAACGAGTGATGAAAAAAATACTCACTAAATATGTTCCCCATTCGACCGCAAACCTATGCTTTACGTCTTGTTCTCCCGGTTCTGAACCACTGATTAAAACAATTTAGTTATTGTTTATTAGCAATAATACTAAACATTTTCTATTTTTATTTCTCATACACAAAAAAACACAAACACAAACACAAAAAAATTCAATCGATTTCTATGTTTGTGTTGTTTTGTATCTGAAGTTAAATAAATTCGTGAATTAAAGGCAGAATTACTTGTTTTGTTTTTATAGACACTTCTGTTCATCAGTTTCTATGAACTGAAGCCAGAATTGTGTGAAAACTTAATTGAGTCTCCAATTCACTGAAACTAATGCTCAACTCTTTTAATTGATCTAATTTTGTGGACAAATGCAACCATGAATTGAATGAGGGATTGAGAGAGAGAGAGAGAGAGAGAGAGAGAGAGAGAGAGAGACCACTTTTTGTCA